AATTAATGAATATGTTAATATGGGGTACAGCAGAATAAGGACTATGCATCCATACAAGCAGACAGATGACTGGTATTGATATATTTCAGGGGTCTGTGCTGAAAGTCACATAATTGGTGGTATGCCCCAAAATAAATCCTTCTGCCTGCATTTTAGAGTTGATATGTTCAAGTAGGTTACACATTGGCCTGCTATTTATTTATTAATGAATATGTTAATATGGGGTACAGCAGAATAAGGACTATGCATCCATACAAGCAGACAGATGACTGGTATTGATATATTTCAGGGGTCTGTGCTGAAAGTCACATAATTGGTGGTATGCCCCAAAATAAATCCTTCTGCCTGCATTTTAGAGTTGATATGTTCAAGTAGGTTACACATTGGCCTGCTATTTATTTGTTTGGAAAAAACAGGCTAATATTTTTGCTAATATCAACTAAGTAGTGTATGGAAAATACTTCTAAGACTTCCATGCCATGTTAGCATGGAATTGTTAGTCACAGATTGCTAGGAAGAAGGAAGTGTTAGCAGCCAGTAAGAAAGACCAAAAGGAAATCAAGTATCAAAAATAAGGGATGCTTATCCTCTACCTTCTGTGACTAAGTCAAATTCCTCACGTAGGAGACTGGAATTTTAACTGCAGCATTTCAGGTCCACAACGGAAATTTCTCTGCTTGTTCTCTAATTTTCAAACAAAGTGTTCTTTGGATAAAAATTTACCTGAAAAATATCTACCCCAAGTTTTTGAAATAGCTTCTTTCACAAATACAGAAGTAGTTAAAATGGGATTCAGCCTGAAAAGAAAAGGATGCTTATGCTTTTCTAAAGCTACCAGTACAAGAAATTCCTGAATGCTGACTTCCCAGGCACTTACTAGTGTCTAGTTTTGGGCAGACAGTTTTATCTCACAGTAATTGAGCTATTCAGCATTTATTGTGAACAGAGATATTATAGATCATTGTCCAAATGCTTCAAAAAGTTTTCAAAATTCCAACAGTGTTGAGTATTTTCTTAACAGAATCTGAGATTTGGGAAGACTTTTATGGTGATCTTCTAAAGAAAGCAGCGTGGGTCAGTAGTTTCATTTTCAGCTGAAAATACATTTTGTTCTAAACAGTTTCCTCCTGAAATCTACCCCTTTGCTTCCTGCCTCCTTCTAGCAAGTCCAAATGTCCGAGATACTGTGAAGTCCTTCACTTTCGTGTTCACATTCTTCTACAATCAATCTTTATGAACTTACATTGCATTCCAATGCAAGCCTTGCTCTAAAGAATGGCAAGCAATGGGAAACTACGAGTCATGTGAGAGAGGCAGAATTGATCAGAAACAATGAGCCTGCACTTGCAGCACTGCCCTTGGAGCTGCGACGTGAAGTGTGTTAGCACGGAAAGTGATGCACACTAAGTAGATGTGAGGAGCGGTTTGATTTCTTAAACAGCTTCCATAAAGTCTGTATAGTTGCTTTTGCACACATGCACACACACATACACCCTCTCCCCAAGAAACATTTTGGCCTTCACTTTAGCCACCTAAAAGCTTAGCTTTTAGCCATCTAGTTTGACTTTACTGGACACTCCAAGAACAGATTTCTGGATAGACTCTCCCTGTTGTTTCATTAACACTATATAATTTTTTAGGATTTGAAAATATGCAGTTCATTTTGGTCCACTTACTCTTTAAATGTTCTTATTTTTGCCTCTAGCAACTGATCATTTGTTTTGCGGCACTGTACTGAAATATTTAGATTGCATGTGTTGCAAAAAGTGGGTGGGGGTAAGGCCAAATGAAACTTTGTATAGACGTACTGCATAGATTCCTTGAGTCCCGGCAGTGCAACTTTTTCGTCAGTTCAAAAGTTTGAGATCAAATAGAGCAGACAAGTCTAAAAATACATAGACTTGGAGGTCTACAGATACATGGACCCATTTACAGCAACCCAAAGTACAAAAAATATAGCATCTAAGTAACAATGGCTTTTTACACCGATTAATTTGACTCTTCGGTTGGTTGGTTGGGTTTTTTTTATATATATACATGACCTTTAAATCCTGCTTTTATTAAAATAAAAATTACTCGGTAATAAAGATGACATTATTTTAACACAGTGCCAAAAAAAAAGGATGTTACTGACTAGAGATAAGGGAACTTCTAAACCAAATGAGACAATGCAGGGTATCAGTGGCATTCAGACTGCTGGAAAGTGAGACTCCACATTAAATTTAGTTTTTCTGTTGCATCATTTCTGAGTTACAGTTCTTTAGAGAACTGTCTATGCTAAATGAGTATTTTTAATGAAGCCTTATTGCCTTTGTCAGGAAAAGTCCATCAAAAGACAAAACCCCACTATTATTTAGATTAATGCTGTTCATAAGATATAAATCAATGCATTAAAATATTTTCCTTTTTACATTTAAGTAAAAAAAAAAAAAACAAAACCAAACCAGTAACATTCAAATTCAAATCTGTCAGACAGGCTATTCTTTTGCTTGTCCCAAAAAAAAAGAAATGTCAGCTGAGTGATGAGAACAAAATACAATATTCTCAATCTCTTCATAAATAATTATCAGGCACCAGTGAATTATTTGTTCAGACAAGAATGTACTTCATAGATAGATATTCAAACTCTTGAAGGTCTCTGGTTTAAAAAAAAAAAAATCAAGAAAGAAATACCGAGAGAAAAGCCTTTAAAATTTTCAAGGCTTCTTAATTCTTCTTAAGAAAACCATAATCAGAGTATTGCATAGTATTTAATTACCTCCAATCAAATATGCATACACCACATATGGGGAGAGGGAGCCGGTTTAAATTTAGGAAGAAGTGAGGACAGAATTACTTTAGTTTAGGAATTAAGTCTGTATACCTCCTTAAAGCAAACAAGTATTCTTGTTCTAGTTCATAATAAATAGGAGCTGTGAATAGAAGTCACAAAAATCAATGAAATATTTTACAGAAAAAGCATCTTCTTCTTCAAAAGTATTCTTTTTCCTCTATAGCTTCAGCATGAACAACACAGTTCCTACACTTACACATCAGTATCAAATATATGAAAGCCTTAGTCAAAAAAATAGGTTTGGGGTATATTTGTCTATGCTTATTCATAAGACGAACTTCAATTCGTCTGTATTTTTATACATATGCATTTAAAAAGAAAACGTGGTACATTACCATCCTGCATTCTCCAACAAATTCCGTGCAATGGGTTGAGGCACTGAGCAGCTGTAATAACCCATGCCTATGTAAGACCTCCATATCTTGTTCTTGCTTGCAATATTGTAGAGAGTTTCAAGGATTTCATTTTCACCTAATTGAAAAGAAATTATGTCAGAAAAATACAGTTACATGTAATGCTAGCAGTTTTTAACTGAAACGCCATGTATCCTTTAACTGAAATGCCTTGAAATGCAACATTGGTGATGCGAGCATAAACAGTCGCAGAATACAGTGCAAACCAACAACAGTAAAAATAAAATAATAAGGTGGTAAGATATTCTGGGAAAGTTTAAATTCTGCCAAAATTCTGGAAAATGCAACAACTGAATAATAACAGCATTTCAACCAATGTGGAAACAACAGCAAGAGAAACAGCCATAAGCAAACAGCTTATGGAGCCCTTTTGTGCTAATGTAATGTACATTCTGGGTCTCTTGCACGTGCATTAAAATATATCTCAGAAGGCACCTTTTATTACCTAAACCTTGCAGAATCAGCACTGGATGAAGCCATAGCCATCCACACCTATGAGTCAGTGTTTCTAACAGAGCCATATTTGCAGAAACTGGGCTCATACCAAGCACCCAGGAGTAATTTAATATTAAAGAACCTTATTTTCTCGCATTTTCCCTAAATAGCTGATAAAATGGAACAGTTCTTTTAATTAAATCTTAGTATGTTGCACCAGTTTATTAAAAAAAAAAGTGTGAATACAGTATTTCTAGCTTAGGAAATTCCATTTAAGATTAACTTCTAAATGAGTCTGCCAATCGAGGTTGGAGAGATGACCACAGAATGCTTTTGAAGTGTTCAGATGGAAAGCATTTGCACTCCCTCCCTTCCCCAACTATAGTTTAGTCTTTGGTCTTGCTTCTACATACTTCTCAGTGTCCTGAAGGCTGTGCAAAAATCACATTCAGTCAATCTGTTCCTAGCAGTCAATGAATAATGCTACCCAACATCTGCCAAGGGGAAAGATTTACAAAATATTTTAGTACCCGAGGAGGCAGAAAGATGGTCAGTAGGCTGTCCAAGATTACACAGAGAGACAGGCCTGCCCAGCCTAACAGACCTGGGTGGAGTTGGACACCAGCCCTCCTGGGTGAGGGGAGCAGATCTTTTTTCTTTTTCCCCCCAGTCTGACCTCGGAAACTGCCGTACGGGGGCAGTTGCACCAAGTTCTGGTCACTCTGCACTGCAACGTGAAAAGCAGACTTTGGAAATACGGCTACAAATCACCGCAGCAGAATAGCTTGGGCCCTGGATCAAAACCTGTTCTCTCTCCGTAAATTACTCCAGCAAGAGAGATCAAGTCAAAACAGTTAGTGCTCTGGAATCTGGCGGCAAATAATTCTCTAGGTTTTGAACTATTTTTTTCTGCAGCCATAAACAAGGATAGTATAAGTTTAGCTCTGATTTCAAAACTCATCTCTCCTCTTCTTTTACTCAAAGTGCTACTATGGCATTCCACGTATAAAGATTAATTTTTTAAAAAAATCTTCTGGTTTTCAATTAATTTCTTCCACAGTCATATTATACTTTCCACAAAGTTATTCTTTTACTGATCTTCAGTTCTCACTTCAAAGTTCATTTCTTCTCTGCCTTTTACTATTAGATCTAATGTATAAAGATTAATTTCTTGTTTTTGGTAAACTCCAATTTTTTTCTGGAGACTCAAGAGTCATGTGTTTATTATACTTGAACTCAGCAACATCCAGGGCAAAGTTTCTAAAGCATAGTGAGCAGCTCCACTCCCCAACACTCCTCCTGCACAGTTTATTCCAGACAGATGCACTTGTTTGTTTATTTTAAGTGAGAGTTTTAACACTGTAGAGATCTTCCTTTACCACTTGCAAGCCAAAAGTTTGATGAAAGACAGTTTGGATGCAGTTTGAGAGGGAGGGTTGTATTCTTGCAGAATTCAAACATCAATAATTTTTTGAAAACAGTAATGAATTTGCTTGTTGCAAAATTCAGTTGAAATGCAGCTGAAGGCATGCTATCATTTAACTTACTCGCTAGCCCAATATCAAACACAAAAATGCATTAAGAGTGTGATTTCTGCAGTAAACACATACCACAAATAGTGTACTATGTGCCAGATAGCATTGCCTTTGTTTGCCGCACTGGACATTTCTTCTAGAGAGTAATTTCTCAGCAAACATAGCTAACAACTACCACATGAAGACACTGAACTTTCGCTGAAGTTCTCTGAAATAAAGCAGTTTCCAGATTGATTCAAGGCACAAAGCAAAAAGCCTAGTGAGACTGTAAGCAGCTTGATGGCTGAAGAATCGAACCACATCCCACCTAGAAGAGCTGCGCTGATAGATCCCAACACTGAATATATTTTTAATTATTACATTTTTATGAGCTACCTGTGAAGACAGTTACACTACTAGTTTTAATCAGGGTGGTGAAATGCTGGAGGGCATACTCCCTCCACTCCTGCATCTTCTCACTTACCCTGCTCCTTTGGTCACTACGAAGGCAACAGCAGCAGTACAGCTCAAATACACATCTCCCACGTTTGGCATGCCTTGTTGGAAGAGACCTGGGATGAACACTCCTTCCCCTATGCCTTACACTGCCTTGAAGAGTTCATCACAGCGTATCTTTAGGAAGACAGCCCATAAGGAACCGCACTCCTGCGTAACAGAAGTCAGTAGCCCCTGATTTGTCTGTACAGCCTGGCTTACCTAAGACCAAACACAAGTCCGTGTAGACTCATGATGAATCAGTTTTCACAAATTCAGTGTTTGCTTTACACTGATACGGTTCTGAATTCAAGCAAAACTGAGATAGATGAGGGTGAGGGAAATTAACACATATGTTGGGGTCCACAGACTGCAGAGTGAGGGAATGAAACCATTCTTAACAGCATGCCCAGCACCGACAGGAGGGGATGGAGGAGACACAGACGGGGTCTTCACAGTAGTGTGTGGCAGGAGCGTGAGAGGCAGCAGCACAAGCTGAAACATGGGAGGCTCAGGCTGGAGATAAGGAGAAGCCTTTTTCCCCACGAGGACAACCCAGCAGTGGAGCTGGATCTCCATCCTTGGGGGGTTTCATGCCCTGGCTGGATGAAGCCCTGAGCAGCCCGGTCTGAGCCCACGGCTGAGCCTGCTCTGGGCAGGAGCTGGGGCTGGAGACCTCCCCAGGTGCCCACCAGCCTGGACAGGATCCTGTGTCTGTGTCAGTAGCTGTATTTCACACTCTATCAAGCCTAGCTTTTAACAGTGTATTCTTATAATATCACCAACTGACGATAATTAATTATCAAACAGAGGTCTCGCCTTGTTGCAAATATCGACTGAACAGAAGTTACGTGCCAGAATAACATTTTCCCTTAACTACATCTGCAGAAAAAGCTGACCATAAAAAAGCCCCCCTTCCAGAATCAGTTGAGGTATAGGACTGCAACTTACTGTTACGGGAAATCAGACATTTTGCTGTTTCACCCCCACTGGCTTTCAGTGGCATATTCAGGTGGTTTTACAACACTTGTCAGTGGGCTCATGGCACCGAAGGAAGCAACTCACTTCAGAAACCTCTTAGCAGAAGCTACATTCCTTCTGTCCTCCGTCACTGACCACGTCTGTACAAGAAGTGATCTACCAATACAGGAACACTAATAAATATTGAAAAAGCATTTCTAGTGTAGATGCCCTTGTACCAGCAAAGCTTAGCATTTACCGAAATGGCTTTTTCATTCATACGTAAGCAAAACAAATCTCCAGTTAAGGCTAGAGGCTTTCTCTCTCAGTATATTATGTCCTTCAGGGAAGTAATGAAGCTTGATTCTCCTACTGAAGAGTAGGGCTGTGCTAAAATATCTAGGAAAGACAACACATGTACAAAAAGATTGTGCTTCTACTGTGATCAGAGGTTTTATTTATGAGCAGTGGAATATGCGATACCATTTAAAACAGCTCTTTAATGTAAGCTGCATCCACAGGATTTCTTTTTTTTTTTTTACTGCTATTGCATACACACAGCCAATTGATTTTCTGTCTTTTAGACAACTTGTTACCTTACCAAGGGAAGGATCTGTAATGCAAAACAATCTTTCCTACTGCCACACCTCATCAAAATTTGAAGATATGCATATACATCAAATGTACACACCTAAGATGAGGCCTAAAGCTATAGAAGTTTAAAAAAACCACAAATATAATTGCAGAGACCTATGATACTGACCCAGACATACTATTTATGGGGTGTGCATGGTTTTCTTGGATGGCGTATCTAATTCTAGCTGTAATCATTGACTTCAGTGAGACTTCAGCGCAAGCTCAGCTGCGTTTCCTAATACAAAGGAGTAGCTCAAGCACAGCTGATTTGTTCAGCTGCACTCTAACCTGTGGAGTCACTATGATTATGTTTTTTAATTGAAGTATACGGAAAAGTGGAAGTGTATACTTAAACCACTAGGAATTGCCATATTAGAAACTTTATAAATGCTGAAGTTGAACAACATGTTTTGAATTGCCTTGCCCTGTTCTCTCACCGCATGTATGAGTTTGGGGGATGGTGGGAGCAAAATTGTCTTCATACAAATAAAAAGAACATGTTTAAAATAGAATACAGTTCTCATGACACTTTCCCAATTTTGCTGTTTCCCTTTAATACAAGGGATATGATAGAGAAATAATATACCACACTCACGTAAGAAATCCCACACTGGTGATGGGGAAGACAATATTCTCCCTAATGGTACATTAATGAGGAAGCAAGTTTTACTCATACTCCTGTGTCCTAGGTACAAGATGCTCAATGTGAAGTTGCACAACTTCAAGCTGAGGCTTTTAACTTTTCTTTTACAAGCTGTGGAGTTTTCTGTTACCAATACAGTGGAAAACTCGTGACAAAAATCTACGCATTAAATTACAAAGGACAGCTAGTTCATCACACTGGCTGCAGAAGAAAAAGCAGCAGTGTCAGAAAAAAGTTTTCTGTACCTCATGCAAGCATCTCTTTTGAAAACTGACTGTTGCATGCCGTGCAATGTGAGGCTCTGCATCACAGTCACATTCTTTCAAAGTTCCCTCTAAGGGAACAAGAGCAGCATAGCAAGTGGAGCAAAATGCCA